CCCTGCGCGCCTGCAGCGCATAGAGACCGCACCCCCTGCGCACCCTCCTGGTGTCGAGAAAGTGCCGCGCCTGCCGCGCCCTGCGCGCCTGCAGCGCATAGAGACCGCACCCCCTGTGCACCCCCTCTGGTGTCGAAAATCCCCGCGCCTGCCATGCCCTGCGCACCTGCAACGCATAGAGACCGCACCCCCTGCGCACCCCTCTGGTGTCGAGAAAATGCCGCGCTTGCCGTGCCCTGCGCGCCTGCAACGCATAGAGACCGCACCCGATGTGCACCCCCTCTGGTGTCGAGAATTCCCACGCCTGCCGCGCCCTGCGCGCCTGCAGCGCATAGAGACCGCACCCCATGTGCACCCCCTCTGGCGTCGAGAATTCCCACGCCAACGCATAGAGACCGCACCCCCTGCGCACCCTCCTGGCGTCGAGAAAATGCAGCGCCTGCCGTGCCCTGCGCGCCTGCAACGCATAGAGACCGCACCCCCTGCGCACCCCTCTAAGCTGAGCTGTGCTGTGCTGAGTTTGGCTGAGCTATGCTGTGCTGCAATGTGCTGTGCTGAGATGAGCTGAGCTGTGCCGTGCTGAGCTGTGCCGTGCTGAGCTGAGCTGAGATGAGCTGAGATGTGCTGAGCAGTGCTGCGAGGAGGAGAGGAAGAGTGAGGTGTGTGTGGGAGTGTCGCGGGCGCGGCGCGGCAAGGAAGAAAACCATAACCCCACGAAGCATGTGGGAAAAACACAGGGAATGGACGTCCGAGCGATGGCCAGCCCCGCTGCAGGCCGGCGCCGCCACCGCCAGCCTGGTGTCGTCGGGCCCTGCCGCCGGGGCGGGCGCGGGCCGGGCGCCGGGCGCCGGTGGGCAGCCGGGCCAGGCCCAGGCCTGCCGTCCCGGGCGCCGTCGTCGGGCGAGGCAGGGCAGGGCGAGGTGGCGACGTGACGGGGGGGGAGAAGGGCGAGGCGACGAGGGGGGGGGGGAGGGGGGGGGGGCGGGGGGGGGAAGGGGCGGGGGGGGAGGGAGGGGGGAAGGGGGGTGGGGAGGGGGGAGGGGGGGGGGAGGGGGGGGGCGACGAGGGGGGGGGGGAGGGGGGGGGAAGGGGCGGGGGGAAGGGGCGGGGGGGGGAAGGGGGAAGGACGGGGGAGGGGAGGGGGCGGGGGGGGGGGAGGGGGAAGGAGTGGGGGAGGGGGGGGAGGAGGAGAAGTGAGGGAGAGAGGTGGAGGGAGGGGGAGGGGTCAAGCTGGGTGCGCTCGCGTCCTGTCTGGCGTCCTGCCCCTCCCTCCCATCCCTAATACCATGGCGTAGATCTCCACTCAATTCGCACAGTCGGATGTGCAGCAGGGCAGTGATCACGAGAGGGTGCGCGATGCATCGTGGAGCACGGCATAGCAGGGCGTAGAAGAGCATGACAGAACCTACAAGTAGTATGTCATAGCATGGCGTGGCGTTGCGCAACGTGGTGAAGAACTGCATCACAAAGCATTGCAACGTAAAGCATTGGAACGCAAAGAATGGCATCGCACAGCGGTACAGAGCAGACCATGGCATAGCATGGCGTTGAATATCAAAGCGTAGCATTAAATAGCATGGCGTGGCACTGCGTGGTCAAGCACTGCATATCCTAGCATTGCAGCTGAAGGCATGGCATCGTACAGCGGACACCACATAGCATTGCATTGCATGCCGTGGCATGGCACTGGAAATAATGGCGCAGCGCTGCAGCGGGAACACGATTCGGAACGAGCGGAAGCGCCAGCGCTGCAGCGGGAGTACCCTGCGGAACGAGCGGAAGCGCGGAAATGAGGCCAGCGCTGAAGCGGGAGCACGACTCGGAACGAGCGGAAGCTCGAACATGAGGCAGGCGCTTCAGCGGGAGCAACATTTTGACAACATCCAAGCGAACATCCAACTCCCAGGAATCCAGTGGGAAAAAATCAATACGCGGAGGGTGGCCGAATATCTTCGGGATGTCGTCGGGATTGAGGGGCAGATTAGCAAGTGGACTCTCAAAGTATCCGGAAGCCGCGCGGGGCGGGAGGGAGAGGGGGAGGGTAGGGGGGGAGAGCAGGAGGAGGAGAAGGAGGAAATAGAGGAGGAGGGAGGAGGGAGGAGGGAAGGAGGAGGGAAGGAGGAGGGAGGAGGGAGGAGGAGGATGGAGGATGGAGGAAGGAGGGGAGGAAGAAGGAGGAAATCGAGGAGGAGGGAGGAGGAGGAGGAGGAGGAGGAGGAGGAGGAGGAGGAGGAGCAGGAGCAGGAGCAGGAGCAGGAGCAGGAGGAGGAGGAGGAGGAGGAGAAGGAGGAGGAGGAGGAGGAGGAGAAGGAGGGAGGGGGGAGAAGGAGGAGGGGGGGGGCAGGGGGAAGAGGAACAGGAGGAGGAGGAGGAGGAGGAGGAGGAGGAGGAGGAGGAGGAGAAGGAAGAGGAGGAGGAGGAGGAGGAGGAGGAGGAGGAGAGGGATGATAATGATCAGGAGAGCACCCCGCGGGGGGGAGACGTCGGGTTTCATCAGGGTGAGGGGGGGCTCCCGGTCTTGCGTCCTTCTGTGCTGCTTCTCTGAGATAGGCCTCCACGGTGCGGATTGCATTGTCGTTTGTTGGTTGTTGTTGCTTGTTGCCCAGCCCGCGACGCACCCGCCCCGCGACCCACCTGGCACCCGCCCCCCGCGTCCCCCCCACGACCCACACACGCTGCTTGCAAAAGAAGTCGGCGCCCGCGGCAGGAGGGATCGGCGTTTGCGGCAGGCTACTTCTCATCTGCGCTCGAGCCCCGCAGAATCGCCGAGGACCCCCCTGGCTCTTGCCCGCAATTTCGGGGGCTACGCGTGAGTCTCGACCATCTCCGACGATATTGTATGACGTTCGACGGTTGTCTACGGCTTTTTGTGTCGCGTTGCCAGTCTTGGCCCACCACTCTTTGGCGCGACGCCTCAACCACGCCCTCCGTTCTCGTGCGTCAACGTCCCGAGCTTTCCCCAGCCTTCCATCTCGCGGAGCGGAGCGACACGCTGGATTTAAGTCGGGCGTGTCCCTCTACAGGGGGAATATTCAAAAGTGTTCAAAAATAGTCAGGGGACTATTGTTTGACTACTTTTGAACATCTTGGGGGTATGTTTGGGGTATTTCCAATTTTTCTGACACAATCCTCCAGTAGGGGGACAGGCCCGAGTTAACGCTAGACAGCGTTTTTCGCATTCCCAGGGCGATAGCGGGGCGACAGGGTTTCGGTCATGTCAAGTTTCGCGTCGGCGCCGTCTGGGAATGCCCAGGAGTAGCCCAAGACAGTTGGGATCGCAGGTGCGTGTATGGAGCTGTTTGGGCAGAACGCATCCCTCAACCTCCTCGTTCCTCGCTCGTCCTTCCTCGTCAACTTCCCCCTGTCGTCTCGTATTCCTGCCTCGTCGGAGAAATTGATCCCAACAAGCCGGAACATCTGTCTCGTGTGTTTCTTACCAGGAAGCTGTATATTACACATGACGCGGTCAGCCCGGGCGAGAGTGGATATACACATCTGGCCGCGTGGGGCCAGGTACGCCAGCCACCCGCATGTGTATTCAGCAATTGGCCTCCGCATATTCCGCATGTGATTTTGATCGCGTGTGTTTCGGGGGCGGCAAAGAGGGGGGTGATGACTAGGGACTAGGGGGGATATCATGGCATGGGCCATGATATTTCCCCATATTCAGATTTCATGGCGCCTCTTTTTATTTTACTACGTCCCTGGCCCCTCTTTGGGCCGCGCACATGCCGCCGGCCATGATTTGAGTTTCTCGATCGCAGCCCGATCATTCAGAACACAAGGTGCAGTGCGCTGTTGGTAAGGTTTAACGAGTAGGGATTGCTTCGCGTGTATCTCATGGACTCATGGACGTGTGCCGTTCCGCACGCCCCCCAGCGCCCCAGCAATGTGGGGCCCACGCTGTTGTGCAGTGAAGACTTTGTAACGCAATATGGAGGAATAGTCGGTATAGCCAGGACTCCGGTTAAGGGGAGGCGGTTAGTGATTGGTCCCCGAAGTCCAAAATATGTATTGGAATCGCTAAACCAGGTCTGTCGTAGCTGGTGTTTTTCGGGTGACGGCAATTCCGGTTAGTGGATTGGGACGGGGGGGCGCCCCCTGGTACACATCACTAAACCAGGTCAGAGTATTAGGAGGAGGAAGGGGAGGACGACGACGTCGACGAAGACGGCGCCCAGACCCTTCCCAGAGCACGCATCGATAACACAGGTGTGATCAAACAGGTCACTGCGGTCTGGCCCCGCCTGCCTCGCCCCTCCCTCCTCTCGGCTCCCTGCTTCATGATTGTTCAGGAGGAGAAAAAACACACAGACACAATGAATCGTCGATTCCAAGGAAAATATGGGAAGTGGCCCAGAAAATATGCGAAAATATGGGGGATCCTATTAATTTTGTGTATTGATTTGTGTGTCCCAAGGCCCCTTCAAATGAGCAGGAAGAGGAGGACGAGAGCAGGAACATATCCACTTTCGATCCCCAACGATCCCCCACTCGTCGCCCCTCCGTCGCTAGTTATCCTCCGCTACCACAAATGTGGCCTCCGGGGCCCTCGGGGAGCCCCGGGGCCTCACAGAAGGCCGCCAGAAGGCGCCAAGGAAGCCCCAAGAGGCTCCAGAACAGACCCGGGACGCCCGAAGGTCGCTCCCAGACGCCCAACATGGCCTCCAAGGCGGCTTCAGAAGCCCCCAAGACACCCCGAGCGACCCCCAGTAGGACCCCAACGAGAGCCCCAAGGGGTCAAAATAGCCCCATTCCCTTCATAAAACGTGCATTTTTAACATGTAGCTCGTTTTCGCTGTCGGTCCGTGCTGGACGACCTCAGAAGCTCCCAAGACCGCCCCAATACGGCCCAGGACGCGCCCCAGAGGGCCCCAATACAGCCCCAGAAAGCTCCAGGACGGCCCACGAAGGGCCCAAGACGGCCCAAGAGAGTCCCCAAGACGGGCCCGAGAGGGCCCCAGAGGAGGAAAGCCACCATCGAATTCCAAGCTTTCGACCCCAAGTGGCTCCAGGAGGCGCCGAGAAGCCCACAAGAAGCGCCCGGAAGGCTCAAGACACACGCGGCGTAGGGTCGGGGAAAACATCTTTCATTCCCAGCTCCTTCTCTTACATCCGCAGAAGCCTGTCCACAACTCATCCCACTGAGATGCCGCAGGTGCCAGTACATGATGAAGACTACCCTGACCTCTCACCAGAGCCTCCACCGCCTGACGACTCCCAAGCTCTGGGTGCACGGAGGCAATGCAATTGAACTATCCAGACCAGCCTCACGAGGGAGTTCTCTCCCGAGCCTCCCGGCGTGAAGGAGGCACCTTCTTCGCCGCTGGCCTCCCCTTTGTCACCGAAGAGGAAAAGCTACACGAAGCACTGGATTGCCACCGGCAGCTTCCACTCCCGCCAGCAGGTCTCCAGCGAGGATATCCGCAAGATCTGGTGGATCAGCGTCCGCGCGATGCAGGCCCGCGCCGAGCTCAAGAGGAGGCAGCTGGAGCTGTCCAAGAGGATGCTGAAAGAGCGGCGGAGCGGGTTTGCGAGCGCGTTCTTTTCGACGTACGCCACCAGCTATCAGTGGGCGCTCTTCGTCGTTGTTCATCTCGTTATCACCTTCCTGATTTGGTCCCATTTCTTCCTGAAGAAGTTCAGGGAGCAAGAGGGACTCCCCGAGCTAATCCCCGCGAAGGACGCCCTCTCCCCGGAGGATGCTGGCATGCCAATGCCCAACTACTGGAAGAAGCGTCTGATTCCGCCGCTGTTGTTTGGCCTCAAGCACGCCATCCTTTGGCAGATGGTGTGGCTGCCTGTAACGATGAGCCGCCACCTTCTTGCCTTAGCTGCTCGAACGAGGATTCGAAACTTCGTCCCTCTGGAGCACATGACGTTCTTCCACATTGCCCTGGGATACATCACGTGCTTCTTCATCATCGTTGCCACCATCGTGTTCTTCGTCTTCTTCGGGCACGGCTGCCGACAGCACCTCGGGCAATTCGGCCACCCTCTCGAGCCCGTCGATTTCTGCGAGAAGATGTGGAGCGAGATCATGATCACAGGACTAGGCATCTTCGTCCTCGTGGTGATCGTGATGGTAAGCTCCTTCCTGCGGCGCCACATGCCGTTCGAGTGGTTCTACGTGCTGCACCATTTCGTGTTCGTCTTGTTCGGCCTAGCCGTTGCGCACACCCTGGACGACCAGTTTCGGGACGGCACTCGCGTCGGCAAGAATCGGTCGCAGGACTACCGATTCATCGCCACGACACTCAGCTTATATTTCTTGGACAGGGCTTGGAGCTTCCTCACCGTGCGGCGCGACGTGCCCGTGCAGGAGGCCGTGGCCACTTCCACGAAGAGCATGCTCACGCTGGTGTGCAAGAAGCCGGTCGACTTCCAGTTCGCTCCTGGCCAGTACGCGTACATTCAGATACCTTCTTTGGACATTACTTTCCACCCGTTCTCCATCGGCTCTGCGCCAGAAGAAGCTGTGCTCAGGTTCTACATCGTGGTGTACAAGGGCCAGTGGACCGAGAAGCTGGCCGACGCTATCGAAAAGAAGACGGTCAGCGGAGTGAACATCATGGGTCCGTTTGGTCCAGGGTTCGAATCAAGTAACTTCGTGAGCGTCTTCGCAGTGGGCACGGGGACGGGCATCGTGCCCATGATGTCGTTGATGAGGGAGCGCTATCTCAGGCTGACCCTCATGAACAAGGAGCTGCTGCAAGGGATTCAAGAAGACCCCGAGAAAGTGGTTCGGCTGGAGGACATTGCGCTCCACAAGGCCGTGGACCACACGAGGCTCATCCTGCTGCAGTACCAGTGGAGGCTGCGCTGCATGCGGGTGAGGGGCACGCAGGCTTCGATGATCATGTCTAGGGCCACGAGTCGTACGTACTACCACTACATGTTCGACATCATCGCGCACGTCGTCCTGCTCCTGGACATGTGTCAGGGCTTCTGGACGTTCTCTTGGAAGTACCTGAACGAAATGGAGTTCAATGCCAAGTTCCCAAAGGTCGATGCAGGCCAATGGAAGGCATTGGAGGTCATGAGCTACGTCTGCATCTCGTTCTTCTTGGTGCACCGGGTTTACTTCTGGGCGAATCCTCGCATCTTCGGGCGGTCCTTCGTGGACGTGCTGGATGGGGTGGCAGTGGCGTTTATGTGCGGCACCCACTTCGCATGGGCGGGCGAGGTTCCGTCCTCTTACATCGCCCCCTCTCACATGGCCGTGTTCTTGCGCGGCTCGTTCGCGCTATGGCGCATCGCGCGCATATACGCCGCGAGTCAGGTCCTGCGCATGGGCGACGCCAGCGTTAAGTTGGGGGTCCAGCACGACCTCGTCAAGAACGGGAATTTCCGCGTGCTCTGGATCGTGCGGGGGGGAGACGGCTTCGCGGCCAATTGCTTGGAGCTCGAGGACATGATGATGGACTTGCTCAAGAAGTTCAGCCGTTGGCAGCTGGATCTCCTCTTCGGCCTCGACATCTACCTCACGGGCGTGACCCCCGCCGAGGAGCGGAGGCTTCGGAGGCTCATCGAGGGATCGGCTATCGAGAGCTGCACGCGCTTCGAGCGCCCCGACGTTGTCGAGTGGGTGGTCCAGAGGATGTCGGACGTGCTCAGGGACACTCTGCACGGCAGGTGCGCCACCACGGGCGGCTCCATGATCGCCTTCTGTGGGAGTCCTGTGGTGGGCTTGCAGGTACGCCGAGGAGTGCAGGAGGCGAACATGCTCGCCAGCGTGCTGCAGATGGCTGGCTGCCGCATGACGTTCCAGGAGGAGTACTACGGCGTTGTGGGAGGCAAGCCGAAGGCGGTGGTGCGAAGGAGGTCTCTCTGTAGCCAGCGCTGCAGCGCCTGAGGGTCGGACAAGAGAACCATCGACCACAGAAACAGAGTCAGTGAGACTCGTAGCGAACGCGAGAGACTTCATCGACTTCTTGGTGGCGTCTTCACAATTTTTAATTTTTGAATTCACGAATTTCTCCATGACGCCAGCGCCTGTTCCCAGGAGTGTGACATTTTCGTGGCTCCAGCCGGCCACCAACACCCGCTTCTTCGTGCTCATGGTTGTCGGGAATGCCGGCTTCTGATAGCAGCATGTTCATGTTCGTGCGCAGATTACCCCTGCGCGTACAGCATCCTCGGGTTCACGGCAACCTACTACGACTCCTTCCGCGGTCCGCGCCGCGTGGGACACGTCCGCGTGCCGGGGTCTCGTGTGTGCACCAGCTGTGAACCTGCCAGGTCCTGGCCAGGCCGACCCCGGGCCCTGGACCGGTGCACGTGTCGCACTGCACTGGGTTTCGGAAAGCATCCTTGAACTTTTCGCTTGGTGCATCTGCACGTGCACAAGCGAAGAGAGGAGGGAAGTAAAGGGGGGAGGCAAGCGGAGAGGGCACGAAGGAGGGCATTGGGCGGAGAAGTACGAGGATCCTTTTTCGGCAAGGCTGCCGTGCAGCGTCACGCAGCTCTCCAGACTATTTAAACGGGCCTGGAGTGCGACGTCGATCAGACGGGCGCGTGGCCAAGTACTTCGTATCGCACCCGCCTGCGGCAGGGTCCGCCCGTCTGTCCGGCCCTGAGACATCTGCGCAGACTTCGGCGGGATCTGCTGGGATGTGTGGAGGAGGAGGAGACGAAGGAGGAGGAGGAGCCGGAAGAAGGAGCGACAGTAAGTTCTTGCCTGGCAGCATTTGGTTGCCGTTCAAGCCACATTTGGGAGGTTGCTGCGTGGGTCCAATCCCCCAGCACGTCTGCATTGCGGTCCACGATATTTACGTGTCCCGTCCGCGGAGGAGCGTCCCTTCCTCCACGCCCGCATTCGCGACATCAGGCCGCTTTTCAGGTTGAGGCTGCCCTGAATACTTCAGATATGCAGCGCCTCAGCGCACCTTCGACCGCAGCTCTCGTCGCGCAGGTTTAGCTGAGGACTCGCTCAGCGTTTCAGACTGGAGTTCCAGTCGCCCTCGCAGGCCGCTTCGAATCACAACAAAATAAAAGAAACAAAAACAAAGCGACCCGAAGGCTCCCAAAAGCACCCCAAGACGCTCCAAGAGGCACCCCAAGAGAGCTCCAAGAAGCAAAAACCGTCCCATTCCGATGGGACAACGTATATTGTTCGTATGTTCGCCTGTTGGGCTGTCATCGCGTCCAAGACGGCCCAGGGGGTTCCCAAGACGGCCTAGGAGTCCCCCAAAAGAGCTCCAAGACGGGCCACGAGAAGCCCAGGACGGCCCAATGGGCCCCCAAGACGGCCCAAGAGAGCCCCAAGACGCGCCCGAGAGGAGTCCCAGAGAAAGAAAGCCACTCTTGAATTCTGAGCTTTCGGCCCCAAGAGATCCCAGGTGGCGCCGATACGCCCCTAAGAGGCCCCAAGCAGGCCCCCCAAAGCACCCCAAGATGCTCCAAGAGGCACCCCAAGAGAGCCCCAGGAAACTAACATCCTTCCATTCCTATGGGGAAACGTATATGGGCTGTCACCGCGTCCAAGACGGCCCAACAGGCCCCCCAAAACGGCCTAGGAGGCCCCCAAGAAATCTCCAAGACGGCCAACGAGGAACGCAGGACGGCCCAATCGGCCCCCAAGACGGCCCAAGAGAAGCCCAAGAAGCGCCCGAGAGGGGTCCCAGAGGAAGACAGCCACTTTCGATTTCCGAGCTTTCGGTCCCAAGAGCCCCCAGGAACCCCAAGACGCACCCAGGAGGCCTCCAAGAGGCCCCCAAGAGGCTCATAACTTGGTTCTAATGCGCCGGCGAGAAAAGCATCCAAGATGCCATGCGCACCTTCTCTCTGGGGCCGTAGGTGGATGTTCTGATGGGCCAAGACCCGTGTCAGGGGTGTGCCGACTCGGGTGGATCGGATGCGAACATTGCCGGGGGCCATCGGTTGAAGTCTATCGAGCCCAGCTAGAACTTGAGCGCGCGCGAAGCGCGCGCGATGGTTCTAGTTCCCTATCTTCCTCCTCCTCCTCCTCCTTCTCCTCCTCCTCCTCCTCATCATCCTCCTCCTCCTTCCCTATCCTCCTCCTCCTCCTTCTCCTCCTCCTCCTCCTGCTCCTCCTCCCCCCCCCCCCTCCTGCTGCTCCTCCTCCTCCTCCTCTCCTCCTCCTCCTCCTGCTCCTCCTCCACCTCTCCTCTCCTCCTCCTCCTCCGCCTCCACTCCTCCTCTTCCTGCTCGTCTCCTCCTTCTCCTCCTCTCCTGCTCCTCCTGCTCCGCTCTCCTCCTCCTTCTCCTCCTCCCCTCCTCCACTGCCTCCTCTTCCCCTGCTCCTCCTCCTCCTCCCCTACTCCTCCCCTCCTCCTCCTCCTTCTCCTCCTCCTCCTCCTCCTCCTCCTCCGCTTCCTCCCGAACTCGCTGCCACCCCGTGGATATCAGCGAATTCCAGCGAATTCCTCCGCTTCCTCCTCCTCCGCCCCCCGCCCTCCCTCTCCTTTCCTCCTCTACGTCCTCCCCTCCTCCTCCTGCTCCTCCTCCTCCGCCTCCTCTTCCTCCTCCTCCTCCTCCTCCTCCTCATCCTCCCCCTCCTCCGCAGCGGCCAGGAGACGGGCGCCGCGGCAGCCTCGGCGGAGCCGGCGGCCAGGAGGCCGCGGCTGCGGGCGTGGCTGGAGGCGGGTGCCAGCGCGCAGGCGCGGTCGCCGGCGGGCGCAGAGGCCAGCGCAGCTCTTGAGCCGTCGGCGTCGCCGCTGCGGCCAGGGCCGCCTACTGGGATCGGCGGGTGGGGGTGCTAGTGGGATAGGGGGCTTGTTGTCAGTGGATGCCAAGGTGGGCTCTACCAAGCCTGACCTGGCTTATGAGTGGCTTCCAGTCCGCGAAACAGTCCAAGTGGGCTCCGGACACTCAGCGGAGTGAGCTAACTCCCCTGAGCCATTCGGAGCATTCGCAATTCATTGACAGGCTAGGTTAGGCCGTCAGCACCCCCTCCGCCGATCCCAGAATAATCTGATTCGATGCGATTCGATCCGTCCGCTTGGGTCGCGATTCCGATGCGATCCTACTGGTTCGATTCATCAGCGTTGGCAGCCCTGACTCCGGATCCGCCGTCTGTTTGGCTGATTTTCTGGCTTCACATTGTGTCGATAATCTACCCCGAATGATGCGAACACCTAGGGGGAAAATGTTCGCATCAGAAGAGTCGGGCGGATATTTCTGCAAAGGTCATGTTGGGACGGGCGACGGCAACGGACATCAGCATCGAAGGCGCTTTACACGTAGGTCGAAGCGTTCCGCCCCTGTGCGAAATCGCCCAGGAAGCATGGCGGATCGAGGGGCCAGCCGCAGCCGGGCGCGGCTCTAAGAAAAAAAACGCCATAAACATTATTTTTGTTGCGCTCCGCGCGGATTTCTTGGATCCGCGCTGGGCCCCCCCAGCGGCGCCTCTGTCGCCGCCCCTGGCGCGCTCTGCGCGCTGGGGAGGGGGGTCCAGCGCGGATGCAAGAAATCCGCGCGGAGCGCCAAAAGTTTATGTTCATAGTTGTGTTTCTTTTTCTAGCGGCGATCTGCTTTCGATTCGACTGTTGACGCGTCGCTGGCGATCCAAAGGTCTGCTTTGTCCGCGGCCTCCCACGGCACCAGATCTTCGACGATATGACGATATGAGTTCGTCGGTCCTCAGGGGGACTTTCCAGGCTTTTCGGCCCATCGAAAATGCATCCGGGATGCAAAACTATTCCTGGGGGACTAGTCGAGGATTTCTGGGCCCACGGATTGGGAAAAAACAGGTCTGGTCGGACGGGGCCAGGACGAGGATAGAAAAAAGATCCGTTCCAGAGCTTTCCGGAGCGCTCTCAGAGCGTTTCGAAGAACCCCTAACCTTACTTACACAGTGAAGACGTGGCCTGGCTGAGGTCCCCGTCTTCGCATTAGGGGTAGAAATCTGGTCGTTTTGGTCTGGTACATCTGCAGAAAAGAACCCCTATCCCTAATGTTTCTGGCGCTCCTCACTTTGGTGTCCCCTCTCAAAAGATCACGGGTCCTTTTATGTCTCATCACTCGAGATCCACTGGATCTCAGAGCTTCCCGGTTGATCCTCACCCGGGTTTCTCCTCGTTCTGGCTTCGTCTTATCTGAGGACGTCAGGGGTGGACGTCGGAGATGGCCCCCAGTCGAGACAGCGGCGCCCCTCACATGCGAATCCTCGCTTTTTTCGGGAGGCGGGGGGGGGGTATGCAGGAGGCCGACTGCTCGTCGGCACGGCGAGATCCTCCAGGAGACGCAGGTGTCGACAGGATTTCGGGATTTCGATCGTGTCTGCGAGTTCCATTGTGGCCCCACGTTGACCTTGGGACTTCGATGGGACGTCGACTCCCGCCAGCAAGTATCGATGGACTCTGGGAGCGATCTCGATGGGATTGTCGGATCCGGGCCTGGCGGGAGAGCCGCCGCTGATTCCCCTGGCACCTCCTTCCGAGGATGGATCCCAAGGGAACGGGGGGCCCTTCGGGGGTGGACAGAACCCCCAACAGTGACACGTCGATCAGTGAATTGTCCGTTTTCGGTTCTCGAGAGGGCGCCGAGGCCGTTATAATCCAGGCTTGCACCCGCCAGGTTTGGGTCCGAGGTCGTTTTCCCTAAACCACGTTTTGCTGAAGGGGGGTCTGTCCATCCCCGGGCCCCGAGGTGTTCCGCTGTGTTCGGTCTCTCCGTACGCAGTCTTCACGGGCCCCGGAGCAGCCAAAAGGCTGTGCGACAGGGCTCGAGCTAAACGGTGTTTTGGCAATTTCGTGGACCGTTTTCGTTTTGACTTCGTTTTGCAGCAAATGTGGAACGAAGACAGAACTAGGGATGACGAAGACAAAACGAAAACGGAAAACGCTGTTTAGCTCGAGCTCTGCTGTGCGATGATGGGATGGCGAAGAGCTGGCCCCGCGGGGAGGCCTCTCCAGGACGCCCACGTCCCTCTGCAACGCCCCCTCCGGCGCCGCAGCAGACATTCAGCGTCGTGGCCACTCGCGGTTTCAACTGTCCACGCGCCGAATGGCGTACGCTTGGCATCGCTCGGACGTGTGCATTTTTTGTCGGCGAGAACCATCGAGGAGCATCCTGGACCATCGAGCAAAAAAACACGCACGAAACCGACACATGCACGGGAAATGGACGTCAGAGCGACGGCAAGGTACGGCTTCTCGCTTGCTCGCTCCATGCTTTCAGGCCCCCGAGACCAGGACAGAAACTGACCAGGACGTTGGCAGGTCGGGCAAGCGACACCCGCTATATACTGCAAAGGCAACTTGGTCGCCCAGTCTTGCTTTGATTTGTTTTTCCGGCTGCACCGCAAGCTTCGGCTCCCTGTCCGGATCCAGGGTGGGGTTTCGCGCTGTGGGGGTGATTTTGTCCGGGGTTCTTCCGGGAATGCTGCATTGCTCATGTTTGTTTCGCGCCGCAGGCTGGAAAAGTTGTGTTTTCGAGGAGCGTTGGGTCTCTCAGTCAAGCGGCGCGCCAAGGCTGCGACGCCCTCTCCAGTGGGGGGCTGCTCGACCTCCGGGGCCGGGGGCAGGCGGGCGGGGGGGCCTGGGACTGCGCGGGTCCCAGGTGTCGGGCGGCTGTGCGACACAAAGCCGCACCGCGGAATGCTGAGCATGGAACGCACACGGACACAGAGCCCCTGTCACGTGGAGTCACAAGACTTGC